TGAGACTAAGTAAATTGACGGATCTCTGTGATTCCAAGCACGCCTCCCCGACGGGGAGGCATCTAGAGCGTCCTTGCGCCTAGTAGTAAGGCCAGGAACCCCTAGAAGCACCAAAGTAGCGTCCTAGTAAGAAGGCCAGGAGCCCCTAGTAGCAACCCACACTAAGGTCCTGACAGGAGGGAGGGGTAGGGAGAGAAGAGAAAAAGAAAGAGAAGAAAGGAAAGGGGGGGGAAGGTGTTCCCAGCTACGACACAAGCGTCCAGGGACACACCAAAGGAGGGGAGGAAAAGGGTTCCCAGCTATGACGAAAGCATCCAGGGACACCCAAGGAAGAGGGAAAAGAGAGGGAAGAGAGAAAGAAAGAAAGAGAGAGGGAGAGAGAGGGAGAAGAGAGAAAGGAAGGTGTTCCCAGCGACGAACAATCGTCCAGGGACACACCAAAGAAAGAGAGGGGGGATCCTGAGTATTCCATTCAGGAAAACCCCAGAAAGCAAAGAAAGAAAGGGGAAGGGAAGGGGGAGGAGGGGGGACTAAGCTCGCGACAGGTTCCAATGAACCTTGAACAGACTTCGGTCGCTGCGACCACGTACGGCGTGCCCAGGGGCTGCCACCTCTGACCGCTACGGTCACGTAAAGGCATGAGCCAGCTTGGAATTCCAAAGATGGGACAAATTTGAGTTCTTATGGCATGAGCCAGCTACTGTCCGCTGCGGACACGTACATCTCCGGGCAGGGGAGATAACGACGTACACCCGTTCGACGGGTCCACGGGAGGCACTCTGCGGGCTCATCCCGGGTTGGCACAAGGCCAAACACACTTAGGATATTGTGTACTGAACTGAAAGCGGTGCCACACGCCGGCCTAGGGTTCCAATTCCTAAGAGTACCAGTAAGGACCATCGAAACCTGGAGGTCTTAAAAGGAAAAGAGGCCAAAGTCTCAAGGCGACGACGAAGCGACAGGGTAACGACGGTCGTACTTGTCTGCCGAGTGAGGTTCTGGGCTTAGCCTCATGCCATTCAGAAAGGAAGGAAAAGCGCAGGTACGTCCAGCTGGCCAAGCTGGATATCCCACCAGATTGCATAGCTTTGTTAGACACGGTCTGCAATCTGGTGCCGTGTCCCCCTGCTTTGAAAAAGGACAAAAATTCACACTTGCACGCGAATTCACACTTTTATCTCACCCGCTATCTAGGGTAACAGAAGGAAATGGTACTCGACACACTTGTGTGTCGGTGCCTTTCCTTCTGTTTCTCCTGTCCTAGTCCTATCTACCCGGGCGGTTTAAGACTAATGTCCCGCTCGCTAACTAGTGCATTTAATTCATGCTGCTAAGTATTCAGTAACTAGAAGGTTTCGTAACTAGTGGGCCTCGTAACTACACCTATCTTTCTCTCTTGCCCTTTGCGTTTCTCTTTCTGTCTTTTCTTTTCCTTTCTTTCTAAGGCTTTTTAGGTGGTTAGCATTTTTCTCTCGAGCGCCGATATCGGCGCTCTGTGTGTGTCACACTCCGTCGAGGAGTTTTTGTTACATGCAGGGGGACGGGTCACCACCGATACTGCCCGTCCAACGAAGAGGGTATCGGTTGGTGCTGAAGCAGTGGAGGACGCTCCACTGTGTACCTGCATCGAACGCACTGACTCCACTGGTTTCCCTTGCCGCTGTTGGTTTGTTTCCACGGTGGTTCTTCGCATGATACCCCCCCAAACAGGTTTCCTTGCACGGCATTAATTCAGTCTGCTAAGTAGTCAGTAACTAGTTTTCTGAATGCATTTGCAAACACGGTTGAAACATTCACCTCCGCGGACTCAGCCACCTTACGTTTCCCTCATCCATTTACTCGTGGAACAGAGTTAACTGCAAACCCATTGTCTAAGTGTGTGTGGTAGGCCAATCTTCCACCAAGAAGACAAACTTCCCGACCACTTCGCTCGACAAGGTGAAGAAAAGGTTAGAAAAGGCGATCTCTTCCCGCAATGGCATGTTTGCCCTTTCTCTTGGACAGTTGAGGTCTTTGTCCGTCCTTGCATCTTTCAGAGTTCCAAGTCTAGTTTCCAAACAAACAACTCCAGGAGACACAACATGGTCCTCTCAAAAAAAGGCCTCTCACTCTTCCGGCGCTTTGGTCACTTTGGAGCTTTGGCTGCTGGCCCCTCCCACGAAGCTCGGCCGCTGCCGACACCGAGCCGCCGATCCTCTTCTGCCTCATCCGCTGGGCCAAGGGCCTTGAAGGAGCTCGCATCCTCGGACTTGAGATGCTTCTTTAGATGTTTTTGAGCAGGAGTCTTATCACGTGATAGAGTGCTCAATCATCACGTGCGCGCCACAAATCGCGTGCGCGCTCAGGACCGCAAAACCCTAGCATATCAGGGGCACAAAGGAAGATGACCATGGCAAGAGAAAACCGCCACGATTCTGCATGTTTCTTCATGTTTCTGCATAGATTTGGTCTCGCCAGCCAACGCGCGTAGAGAAAAAAACCTGCTTTGAAAAACCTCGAAGCAAAAGACTTCAGGGACTTCCAGCCGTCAAACATCCGAATCCCCTTTCCCGCCTCTTGTTGCAGGGGGGTCCCTTTGCCACCTCCACCCCAAACTTTGGCCGCTGAAAAACGCGTTGTCGCTCCTTTTCTTACGGCTCACGTTGCTCGGAGCGTTATCGCTTCATCGCCACAGAAGACCCCACAACGAACCGCTGCGTTTATCGGCTCATCGGCCGCCATCGTTGCTTGGAATCCCCGAATCGCTCGGAGGATCCACGGATTGTCCTGGCCCGGATCTGTTGCCGCCTCTGCCGGCTAAATGGGGCCGTCCGGCTCTTTACACGTGCCCCCATTAAACAAGCATGTCAAGCACTTGAAGTCGTTGAGTTGGGAAACAAGGAGGACTTGAAGAAGATCTGGAACGCACAATCTGAAGACCTAATCACATCAAACTGAAGACCGGCAAGAAGCCAGGACGCAAAAGCTCTTAATGTGGTCTTCTCCTGAGGGGGCCCCTTTGGCGTCCCTGTGGCATATGAGGCCGATAAGTGGCCTTGACTACATATAGATGTACGAAAGAGTGACACGACTGTCTGACCGCTCTGCGGACCGCTCTGCTGGGTCCTGCTTGTCCCTACTGTCGGAGTGCGAGTGTGGCGTTCCTTGTCGTCAGGAATCTGTTTTTGGATCCGACCAGGTACGCCTCGCAGTGTGTCATGTGAGAGCCAGTTCGGTGGGCGGCCACTCAGTGTGAAATTGTGGACCAAGATTTCGAACGGTGGCTCCGACTTGACATCCCAACGTCACAAAAGCAGAGCAGACTGAGCGCAAACACAAACCTCCAACTTTAATGATGCAAACTAGAAGATATGGCTGCGCTTCGGCGGGCAACGCACCAGCCAAAATGGCTGGCTTGTCTGCCTGTGGCTTCCTTTGAGTCATGTGACATCTTGCATCTACCCACCCGGAGTGATCAGCCTATGAGCACCTTCTTGATCCATGACTTGACTAGTCAGGGGGGACAGCCAATAACCTCCCATGGCACCCGCCCTTCTGCATCTGCAGCCCTTCCAGTCTTCTGTTCCGCGGCCTCCTTGCGAGGCACTTCCGGGAGGCGCGAAGCCAGTTCAAATCAAAGCCAGGCTGATCTTCCGATAGGAACAACAAAAAGCTGATGCAATGGAAATCAATGATAATCGAAGTCATCACATATCACAAAGGCTTGATCTTTGACAAAAATAGAAGATGCTTCCAGCTTGAGCTATTATTTATGGATAGAGGCTCAAAGCTCTCAATATCCGAACTCATCCAACTCGTGATGGCAGTTCACCACGGTTGGGGTTCTCGCGACAAAATCGATTTACACATACCACTACCGAGCCTATGTTAATTAGATCTTGTGGTCTTGACGCCATTTCGATTGCGCCGACCTTATGAAAGATGTCTACAAATGGAAAACGATATAGCAGATATAGCTGGCGCAAATCTCTGACATGTCCAGTGTTCTTGAACGTCCTTCCGTGTCGCGGTCTATACCGCCACAATCACCTTGTGACCGGGCGCCCCCCATGCGCCACAAACACCGGACACCCCTCAACACCGGTCGATTCGCCTGCGGCGCAGGGCGGGTCGATGTCGGGTTCCATGATCGGGTCTTGCGGGGTGACCACCAAAACCGGTAACCGCTTGAGGACAAAGGGCCAACTCCTTGCGGGGATGGGTAGCAGAAGTCAAGTCCCAAAGAACTCGGATGGCGCCTTCTTATGGGTCTTCTTTGACCCCAGACTCTCCAGACATCTGTGAACAGAACCTGGGCATATCAGAATGTCTCCAGGAAACCACCCATCCGTAACCCGGTGTCGGCGTCCTGGAGCCCCAGAGTAAAAGAAGGGAGGCGGGTGGGCTTGACGGGTAGGACGTCTTGCTTGTGGCTTTCCGGACAGGACAGCACGAAGCTGAGTCCGAGCTTAGCGTGCTGTTTTTTGCTGAGTCCGAGCTTTGCGTGCTGTTTTTTTGGTTACCGTGGTTTAAACAAACAACAGATATATTATGATTCGAATCATGTTCGCTTATGTTTGCCCCTACAAACTGGCCCACCCTTCAGGTGCAACTCAGTTGAGTGCTCAACGAAAGTGCGCAGCGCAACAGGCTTTCCGGAAGGCCTCAGGCTGCAGCTTGGCTCAGGAGTCGAAAAATCCGTTTGAAGGCTTTGGCAGGCACCTCAGGTTGGCTTTGAAGCTCGAGTGCAAGGCTTGAGCTCGAGCTTAGCTTCTTCATTCATGGACTGCTTGGTCTACACTCCCTGGAATCATCATGGTGGATGGCACCACCTGATACCACCTGTGTTAGGATTTCATGGTCCTTGTGTGGCCATCCACGTCACGTGTCTTCACCTTATTTATATTTGGTCAATAGTTCCCATGATGAGGTTTTGGGGCTGCGGAATCCGCGTTGAAACCAAAGGCATCGAGTCAGGACTTCGTCCTGCCTCCGTGCAGCACGGATGATGTCACCACCTCTCATGTCATCACAGGTTGGGGATGGCTGGGGTGGGTCTTTAGATCACACCAGTTTGGGGATTCTCCAAAAGAATTTCTTGCTTCGCTTGCTTTGGCTTCGTAACTCCAAAAAGGTGAATTGATGCAAATTGAATGAAATTGACAAGTTTGCCAAGGGACATCCGCCTTCCATTGCAAGAGCTCGAAGAACTTTGACTCCAACTGATTGAGCTCCGCCACGCTGACGTCCCCCACGTGGGCATAGAAACTGGCATCCTTAGGTCGTTGGAGGCGCTTTGCCATCTGCTCTAAAGGAGACGGTTCCAGTCGATTTTTGGGTAAGGCCTGTGGGGGACCAAAGGGAAAGGACGGCCAGAACTGGCTCCCAAACGAAAGGGCTGAAATCAGGCTAATCCCGGTCATTCGCGGCAGATTATGGCTATTCCAGTCAAGGAACACCGTCACCGAGTGGAATTTCCAAACCCCTGGAGGTGGAGAAAATTCCCCCTGGAGTCTGGACATGCGTCCCCATGAGTCTCGGGGCGAAGACGTTAGGAGCTGCATACAGAAAAAGGATGCTGAGTAAAGCCGCGTGATCAAAGCTCTCTGGCTGCTGCATCTTCGCTGCTACGGTGATGGCGGCTAGGAGAAGTCGATGAACGGTGCGGGGGCTAAGTTCTACTTTACCACTGTTCAGCTCCGACATCCGACAAATGTAGACGAAGGCATACACGAAGCACACCTGGCGTCCACTCGTCTTCTCTGACGGTCCAAAAGGATCCAAGAAGCAGGGTCCAAATATGTCCAAACCGTGCAAAACTGCCAAGTGAACACCGTCAACGCCAAGCGACAGGAGGGCAGCCACTCTGGTGTAGGTGCCAAACGAACTCTTCAATGTCCGGCATCTTCTTCAGCTCGGAGTGGAAGCAACTCTCCTCTTTGGGCTTCGACTTGGGGACCTCTCCGATGGCCTTTCGCAGCGCTTTGCCAAAGCCTTCGATGACCTTGGCACCAATCGGCGCCACTCCCTGGCCGAGACCTGCCTGGGTCAGAGGCATCTCCCAAGAAGCCTCCCAAGCGAAGGCTGGCACGGCACTCACGGTCCACACCGAACTGGGACCGCTCATCTGACTCCTCAGAGCGTCCGCACGGGTCCGCATGGGTCCGCATGGGTTTGCATGGGTCCGCGAAAGAAGAATCTGGGTGGAACAGGTAGAAGTCAGAAGACTGTGCAGGTCGGATGAAGAGCAGACCAAAGACCCTTCCCAATGGAGATTGGACCCAAAAACCATGGAAGAAAGCTTAAGCCAAGCGCTTACTATCCGAGAGTGAAGCTGGACAAGGTTTTGCTCTCATCAACCGCTTTGGACACTTGATTCGCAAGCTTCGTGCAATAATGGAAAATATCAGCGGATGGTCTAAAAACGACGGAAGCGTGAAAACATAAACATCACAAAATAAATCAGAAGAAATATCAACAAAAGTGCACAGCGGAAGACTTCTAGTCCGTCAGCTTGACTACTCCGGTCGATGGATGTCGCTTCGGATGACGGACTCCCAAGCCTTGATTACCCCGAGGCTTTTCAGCCACCTCTTGTCCTAGAGCCGGTGACTTCCCAGCACATGGCACATCGAAACTGGCCTAATTCCATCTGTACCCAGCTTGGTGAACTCTTTATCACCAAGGGCCCACTGGCGTGGCTTGCCCCTACCCCTCCACATCCCACCTCCTTCAGCCCAACCTGCACCCCCCAAACCCCGGCCTCGTTGTCTCACCCCATCCCCCACCCAAATTCCAAAGCTGCCCGCCCAGCCATGCCCAGCCACTTGTCATCATCTCCGCTCTCGGAGGAGCTCGAGGTGCCTGGTCTCCTTTTGGGCGCGACGGCCTCGTCGTCCGTGTCCGGCCACACCTCGGGACACAGCACAGACGGCGGCCGAGAGGGTTCCACCAAACCCGCTTCCAGTGGGTGTGGGAGGAGCAGCAAAAAAAAGGATGAAGAAACCCAGGGTGTGGAGCACTCCGAAGTTCGATCCACCTTGCACCTCCCAAATGGCTGGGCTTTCGGGGGCATGTTCTGTCGGGGGTCAGCCCTCTGTCAAGACCCTGTTGGGAGGTTTCTTGTTCTTCAACTCTGCAAGTCGTTGAAAGAAAGGCCCACGACCCTGCAAAACGATGCAAAACTGACCTTCGGCCAGAAGCACTGGCACGTTCATGTCCTCCCCCACGTCAGTGGAGTCGGTCTCTGGGCTAGCGCCGCCATTGGAACAGGCTTCCGGTGCGTTGTCGGCGAGGAAGTACGGCACGTAGCCACTGAAGGAGTGGCAACGAGTGAACTTCGCCTGGAGGCACGTTCTTTCAAGCATGCAAGCATGATGTAAATCCGCCCGCACCGAAGGTGCCGAGGCGTGGCTTTAGGGCACGGGTTATACCGCAAGTACCGCAAGTACTATCAATCAAGAAACATCCCCGGCACCGTTTTGGGGCCGCGGTTTTTGGGGAGGAATGTTCCGCAAGCATGATGCGCACGGCTGGAAAAAAGAGTGTGTGGATGGGTTCTGTTGGAAGACATCCTCCTGTTGCACATTGGAGCACACCCCCTTCGGTTGACATCTCTGGTTCACTTGGTTCATGTCAGTCGGTCAACAAGGGCCCCGTACGGATGGGCTGGACCTCTAGCCAAAAAGTGATGTGTCTTACCACTAGTGGTGCACCAAGAACTTCCATCCGAGCTCAAGCAAGTATAATTCTTTTGAAAAACCTGTGACCAAGTCGTCCGGGCTGTTCCACAGCTCGTGGTGGCCTTGGCGTCGCTGTCCGCGTAGTGGATGATCGTCGCCCCTAGGGGTTTCAAACGAGGCTCAATGGGGAGCATGATGCGCCGCGCGATGGGTCCGGGACAACAAAAGCTTTTGGCCACTACGGGACACTGCCGGAAGCCAAAATGGCTGCTAGGTTCGGCCAGGCTTGCACACGGAGAGGTTGCTAGTGAACCTCTGAACCTTACCTGAAGCCTTTCCAAGCCAGAGCATGCTTTCCACACAAGTACTCATGAGCTTAACAGGCTCGCTCCCAAGCTTCCACCTCAAGCAAGCCCGAGCGCCCAGCCAGGTAGACATGGCAAGTGGAACACGCCATCACTCCACTGCAGGCACATTCAATGTACTCCTCGCAGGCGAGGCTTGCAGTGATTTGCACACGAGAAATGTGCTTGCAAAGAATGCGGCTTCAGACGGGCTTCTCGCCGCCGTTTCGCACCGCCATTTCGCACCCCGGCGCCAGCGCCCACGCAAGACGGCACCAGGTCATTCTCCCCGCCACCCAACGGCAGCGGCGGGCGTCGGGGCGGTCTCACCGGAGGTCACCCGAGTAGCATCTAGTTACTAGTGGCGATGGCCTGCAAACCAATAGGGATGGCCTCCACCTATATAGCTTCTAGTTACTAGTGGCGATGGCCTGCAAACCAATAGCGATGGCCTCC